TGAGCTGCAGTGGAAGAATAGCAACAAAATACGGAGAATTGTACCTTCATCAAAGTAACTTTGGGAGATGTTATCTGAAGTATGAACTTTTAATCAATGTTTATCCCATTTTAGTTTCTAAGCTTACAGTATTTTCTGATTAAGGGGACAGTTATCCAGAAGCCCCTTTTAACATAGTGAGTCTTTAAGCATTAGGATGAAAGATAAATAAAAGAAACCCCACATAAGACTGCATAAGAAATAGGCCTATGTTGCCTACACTTTAATTCTAAGCAGTAAAAATAAAAAAACAAGATTTACTAGGGCAGGTTTTCTATAATATAACTCAGTCAAAATGTATTCTTAATATAAACTCTGATGCTTTCCCATCTAAAACTGTTAGCCATTTAACTACTGCATACAGCAATTATTATAGTATGTGTCCTCAAGGCACAAGAGGTTCAGGTCACCTGCTGGATATTTGTGATCTGAGTGAATGTGTCAACTTATGACATCTGCTGGTTGGGTGCAAAGTAAACCCCAGGGAGATCTCTTTTTTTTATCATCAAGGTACATATCACTGAAACAGCTCTGGGTTTAATTTTGTAAAAATATCAATAAAAAAATGTATATTTGTCTTGCACTTGAATGCTTCTTCAATCAGTTGCAAGCCATCCTTTGCTAATTAGTTACCCTCAAAGCGGGGGGGTGGCGACAAAATGACTTTCTCCCCCCACATATGTTTTCTGTTGATTGTGGACACTGTCAAACAGAGAAAATAATTTAGATGAAATGTATACAAATATAATTTAGGCTACTCATTTAAGTCATCAAGTTAATCATACCTTTTTCTGAGCCAAGACATTAGCTGGAAGGAATATTTCACCAAAACATGACAATTTCTCTTTCAATTCCATGAGACTTACAGTGCCATTTAAAATATAAAAAATCAATACTAAAAGTTTATCAAATCACAAGTAAAGCACACACTTTGGAATATATACACTCTTGCATCGATGCACTTCTTTATACTCCAACATTGCCAAAGACACTGCTTCTGCAAACTGTTTTTATACTCACTTCTATGTCATTATTATCCAGTTTGGCTGATTAGTTTTACTTGCTGGCCCAACACTAGTCAAATGATATCCAATGCAGAGTGTCTTTGAGTGAGTGTTAACAGTAAAGTGTTGACCATTAGTTGTTACTTTCTGCCCACAACAGATCTGCATCCCATGCAATCACAACACACAACACCCAGCAGTCACCACAGTGACCCTAATGCACATAGAGCAAAGGAAAATATGTTTTTCAAGATAAATGACCAAACCACCCCTAATGTCCAAAGTTTACAAAAAGAAAAACAATATATGCAGTTTACACACGTTTCTGAAACATCCTATATCTGCAATTTCAAGAGTCAAGATTCAAAGGCTTTATTGTCATATAGTTACAATGTCGAAATGGAAATGAAAATCTTAAGACCCAAGCTCTTCCAACATTGCAACAAAGTTATATAGGACATAATATAGGCTGATTAGGATGGCAGAGTATTAACTAATGATGGAATGGATTTGGACAACAAAAAAATGGGCAGGTAAATCATTCAGTATACACATAATATGCAGATCAGGGTGTAAAGTTAGGTCTTGAACAGTTTAGCTATGTCTAAATTGAAAAAAAGGTTTTATAGGCTTTCATCAAGTCGAATCGGTTTGTGTTATTTTTTACATCAAATGCTTTTTTTTAGGGGACCATGCACAGTTTAAAACCCATATATCAAAATGTGATGCACAGTAGCGCTTTTTAGCGTTAACCTGATAGTCATAGTCCCTTGATAATTGAAACAAAGTCAGCGCAATAACACTTAGTAAAGAGATAATACAAAGTTATACAACGAATAACACACAATAGTTTATCACCATGTTTGCTTGTTAGATAAAGGAAAGTCATAAAGAAAAAAAAGTGCTCTATTGGGCCTCACTACATTTGTCTTCTCTGACAGAAGGTAAACATGGTCACACCAGAGTTTTTATTTAAGTCTTTGCATAGTCATCGTTCCTAAGAAATTTGGTAAATTAAATCTATGTTGACATGCATCCTTTTTGTTTCGTTAGACCAACCGAGGACATACTTCTTAAAGGCCACAGTGGTCATGGGTGTAATATATTTAACTGTGACATGATCATATATTTATCATTTAGTGATTATTGTGTTTCAAGATCATGTAATACTAGTAATGGTAGTAAATGAGACAATGTTTTCATTCTTGAAATATAGATTCCCACTTAAACATAAACCATATTGTTCGGATTATTTTATGGTGATCTTCTCTATTAACAAACGCTTGTCGGAAATTATTTAAATGCTGCTACAGAAATTCAAATATTGGGTGAAATCCATTAAGCGATACAGAGTACCTAGGAATTAGCAATTGCATCAGTTTATATTGTTTTCACAAATGTATTGGATATCTTTTTATATTCTCTGTGTTTCCTTTAAAGTGTTACAGTCGACGTCTGTTTTTGTCTACCTGTGAATCAGTGTAGAAGACATGTACAATTTCTCCTATTCTTTTTGTAACCCAGCTACTTCATATTTCTGCCAGATCTTTAAAACTTTGTGACACTGTAATGATAACCCTGTTAACAATATCATGGCACAAGAAAATGCTTTAGTGGTGAATCCCTGACCTCTATGTGTTCGTATAACAACCCTATACATCTGTGATGTTCATTAGGGATTATTTATCTGTTTTAAAGTATAAAAAAACCTTGAATAACCTTACTTTTTGCTTGTGACACTCATAATGCTGTTAACACAAAACCCACTAATGAAGATATTGTTTACAGAAGTTAAAAGGGCTCCAATCCTTATTAAGATTTATTCCATCATTCTCAAAGTTAAAATAAATATTTGTTTCAATTCTGTAGGTCAAGCACTTTGATAAGCACAGGTTCTGTTCTCAGAATACATTCAACAGATACAGTATTTCCTTGATCCCAACACTGCCCTTACATTATATGACCACAGAATGGCAGCAAAAGCTTATTTTGTTGAGACCATCTGATGAGGAGGCCCATGCACTTAGTGTACATTGTATTTGGAGATGGGGCATCAGCTATTGGCGGCAGAGTAGAAGCTGGACTGGTTAAAGTTAATAAGTAACCATACACAGAGCTATCACTGCCGCAGTCATGGGGCTGATCCAGCTGGCAACATTGATGTGTAAATGATCTTGCGGTTAATGTGATTATCTGACAAATACCATTTTCTTTTGGAAAGTCATGGTGTCTTTGCCCTTGTAGGCCTTAATGGCATTACATGCAGAATCAATCAGATCAAACATTACTGCCTTTTCTGCTTCATTCACTGGATTTTATGCTTTTTTTCACAGTGTTGTCCACTATGGCAAACCCCTCCAGAGAGACCAGGAGAGTTAAATTAGATTCCTAAGATTGTCGTTGTCTGACATATGAATTTAGTGGAGTTGAAAGAACATAATTTACCTCTGAAATGTGGTGGAGCAAAGGGGGAAGAAAAGGAAAGAAAGAACAAGTACCTACAATGTAGGCTTATTCACAGTACTTGAGTAAATGTACTTTCCACTACAGGTTAATAGTGAAAGGGTATGAATCAGTGGCGTAACTATCAACGGTGCAGCCGGTGCAACGCCCAGAGCCGGCCAGGGGCCCATGCAAAATAGCATTGATCGGATCACGCAGTCTTCAAACTAACCAAGCAACCTAAATTAATTTGTAATTTGTCTGTCCAATGACCTTGCTCCCTTTCATGTCATGTGATACCTTGCGTGACGAGCGAACCGTTTAATCAACCTGTATTGTACTGTAGCTAGCAGCAGCAAGTTCGGCAGCATTATAAAAAATGTAATAGCTTGCATTTATAATGTACAGCAAACCAAAGCACAAGAGCGGCACTCAAAAGAGAAAGGACAAGAGAGAGTGTATGTCCGTGCGTGTGTGAGCGCATCAGCGTGCGCTTATGTTTGGGGGGGTGGGGGGCCCAAAACAATATTTGCACCGGGGCCAATCACAACCTTCTTACGCCACTGGTATGAATGGTTTGAATCTGGTATGATCACACACATCCATCAACGTACTTGTTTCCACTTACTTGTCACCCTGGCAATTTAGGTTACTATGTCCCAGAGGTGGAAGAAGTACTCAGATCTTGTACTTACGTAAAAGAAGATGTACCAAAGAGTAGCAATACTATGTTACAAGTAGAGTCCTGCAATCAAATTGTTACTCAAGTAAAAGTACAAAAGTATTAGCATCAAAATATACTTAAAGTACCAAAAGTACAAGTACTCATTATGCAGATATCCATTTTGGTACAATATCAATTACATGTTGTTCTTACAATTATTATTATTTATTAATAATATTTATTATTATTATTATTTATCATAGCTGGTAAAGGTGCAGCTAGTTTGAATAACTTTGTATACTGCATGGTAGCTTGTGAATTTACTCCAGGTAAACTCAAGTCTTATTTGAGTGTTGATTATATTTCACATTATTAATCCATACCTGTAAAGTAATTAAAGGTATTAAATAAATGTAGTGGAGTAAAAGTATACTATTTACCTCTGAATTGTATAGAAGTACAAAGTAGCATATATTTAAATAAAGTAAAGTACAAGCATCTCAAATAAGTACAGTACTTACTACGTAAATCTACTTAGTTACTTTACACCGCTGCTATGTCGTTACACACACTACCTCTCTGGAAAGTGACTGCTTTTATGAGATTGTAAACACATAATATGATGCAGTAATAGATGTAATGCAAAATCATATTTTTAACTTGTCTCAGTTTTGTGCCAAGAGATGTGAAATTAGTCTTCATTACAGAAGTATACTGTATGTTGCCCTTTGGTTAAAAGTAACATCTTCTACCACTATTTGCAACTCTTTTACTGCTCTGTCATGTTCAGTCATTATATATTATTTGTGTAATTTTCACATACATTTAGCATACATACAAGGGAAAAACTGTTCCGTGTTGCTCTTTATTTCAAAACAGGAAAATGTAACATCAAAATTAATATTCAGTGGACATCATTTTTTCAAATGTACACTTTATTTTAAACAAAAGTACAAAAACAAACATCAGGTATTTACAATACTTGCATGGCAATGTTCACTTTCTTTGGTCATTCTTCCAATTTGATGGTTGTACACATGGTAGGCAACAAACAGCTAATTGGAGGTCTGAGTTGATCACATGCTGAATCTATTATTCAAGCAGACCCTGGGCAACCTACTGACGACTCACAACTTAATTACATGTTTGTAAAGTCTGCAAGCAACTTAACAACGGTTTCAATCCAAGTTATGAATTATGTGACAATTATTGAATTTACCTACCAGGAAATTTCATCTTGTACAATATAAATAGCAAAAAGAAAATAAATTCACATACTTCACAATTACATCCTGGGTTTGATACAGTTTCAAATTTAGTAAATGCTCCTGAAGGGACCAATTTTGTGACATGTACAGCTGCGCATATTCCATTGTATTCTACACAAATCTGACATGAAAACATGAACCCGAGTGCACATGACAAACTGAAGCAGTTACAGGTAGATTTTCAAAAGAAGGCAAACATATAATGGCGGCTACTTTGACACAAACACCTTGTCCTCTTTGTGTGCTCCCTTACAAATTATCCCAGAGCTACAATCATACTTCAACACTGGTGAAGCACACACATATGAATCCACTTACAGCCTTTCGCCTTTCGCCTAAAACATCCTTTCCCTGCTACAGGCTCAAGGACTTCTTCTTGCATGAAAACAAACAATGGCTTTATGTAAAACAATCTGTACAGCCAAATGATAGCCAGTTATATGAGGCGAGTTATGCTATACATTCTGTCAATAATCTACCTGTTTGTGGTATACAGTGGTTATGTTGAATGTACAGTCCTTTTGAAAAAAGAAACAGGCAGAAATGAGCTGAGTTTTGTTTGTTTCTCCCCTGGTTACTTTGCACACAATCAAAAACCAAAACCAACAAATCAGGTGATGCCAAAGAACTCTGTGGCACATCGCTTACGTCCTGCAACATGTAAATCATACTACCATCTATAACTAATGCAGAGTATAATATACCCAAAGCCCTTTCAGGAATTTCATCTCTATTTCAACATTTTTTTTATACCTGAATGAACAAACTGAAATCAATGCACAAATAAACAGATATACTACAGTGATGTTGAAGGCAGAGGTCTTTTGACTGTGATGGCGTGAAGCTAAGAAGCAATGGTGTCCCTCTGTCCCTGCTATGTCTCCAAGGGCCAAAGAGTCAGACTAATTCAGGCCTACACATCCTTACAGCAAAGGCAACTGGGCTAGTAGTTATTCTACTTGCATCACCTAACAAAACCCAAACTTCTTTTTCCCCAAATTCCTTTCTAACAAACATGAATCCTAAGAGTAGACAAGTTTACACATGTATCAGTAGTGCAGACAAGTTATGTATATCACATACAGTATCCATTCATCTTTTTTTTAGGATAGGAGGGGTGAGGGTTTAATTTAATTTAATTTCAAACCTTTATTTAACCAGATTGGTCCCATTGAGATCATAGATCTCTTTTTCAAGGGAGACCTGCAAAAAAAAAGGTTTGAGGAGCTCAGGTGGATGGGGGGGGGGGGGGGGGTTGGATATGTAATTTTAGTAAAATGCTCCCTGAAACCAAATCCAAATCATTTTCATCCCAATGTACAGTCGTTGGTTTTTCCCCCCAAATAAGGAGGTGATGAGGAATGTGCAAAAGTTCCATGTTCTCACTAGAATGAAAAACAAATACAATAAATGTTATTTAAACAAGAATGACTGTGTTTGTATTTATTTCAATATTTATGCATTCATTATTTGGGGAAAGTGATGGAAACATGTTTTTACCTTTCACATTCCCACAGGATGGTTGCCGTTTCTTTTACACCTCAGCTTTTTGGCTGTTCTCCTCCACTTTCTCCTCCAGTTTTTTCTCCTCCTCAGAAGAGCCGTTCTCCTTTTCCCCAGTCTTCCAGCTTCCTTGCCTGTTTAACATAAAACATTCTTACCTGACATGCTGACAAGCCTTTCCTCTATAGGTATTTGCAAGAAACCCAAACACTATATGGTATCATTGTGTGGACTTCACATGGACAGAATAATATCTTATGTCTACTAGCACTTAATGGAAGCTATGCATATTCCTGCACTTCGATTATTTACTTAAATTAGCAAGCTACAAGTTCAAGATCAATCAAGAGCTAAACGCCTTAATTTGGAAAATGCATGGTTGATTACTCAGTGGGTAAAACAGACAACTGTGCCAAGATCGAAAGTTCAAAGCTGATTCACTGTGGTTAATTGTTGTTCATTAATTCAGTTAAAGGAATAGATGTAAACAAATCAACATTTATAGTGTGCACTCCATGTATATTTGGTGGGAACTTGGTGTAGAAGAGTAACGGAAAGGGACAATCGATATCTGTTTATTTGCTTAATTGTTTTCTGCTGCAATAATACGTCTCAAATGTATACATCTATAGCTGCTAAAATATACCGAATAACATTTGTAAAAAGATAATTTAACCATGCACCTAAATAAAATAATAATGCACCTTTAGAAAAGCTAGGATCATTACGTAACAGCATAATCATTTTGTTGAAAGGTCAATGTTGACTACTTACTTGAATTTCTTCACGTAGACCAAGTAGGCCAGGCCTAAAACTAGAGTGGCGACGATGAGGGCGACAACAACTCCAACCACCAACTTGGTTTGGTCATTCTCATCTGTTTGAGCTGTAAGACAAAACAGGAACATGAGAGATCTGGGAGAAACATTCACTCAGTATGAAACTCCAGCCTGACTGCATACTTATACAGGGAGGAAAAGAGTCATTATGTGCAATAAATGCATTGATGAATGGTCACATCCGCACTGCGTATGGTTATGACTCATTGACTTAAATGTTAATGACGGCATTCTTAGTTAGTGATTAATTTCATCAGCCAACGGGATTATGGACAATATTGACATTTTGTCAGGATGCTGGTAGCTCCACTCCTCTTATTCCTTCATCTGTGTGTTTTATTAATGACCGAAAAAAGTGTCCAAAGATGATTTCAGTTTCAGATTCAGTTGTAGAGCCTAAGGCGAGGTTACAAATATTTAATCTTTCAGTGCGCAACATTTGATTTCCCCATAGTCTTTAACTAACCCACCTTCCACCGATTCTTACAAGCAAGAAGACTGCTACAACTTACCTTTTTTATCCATTCTCACCTCCTCAATTACTGAAATCAGATATGAAATCAAATTAACTGCAAATCAAAATTTAAAAAAATGAAAGCAAACTTGAAGTCCAGAATAGTTGAACCACTCTACTTCTATTCTACTTTTGCATGCAAGTACTGCAGTTCCAGAGAGGGAACAGATAAAGTCCAGCATCCCAACATATACACCACGCAGTGAAGAGGAAAAGAGAGGTGAAATGCTATCTCAAACACGCAGGAATGAGTAAGCAAGAGACAGCAAAGAATGATTTTAAAACTGCAGGCTTTGAGAAAACAGTGTGTACAAAGTGGTACGTGCATGCATGAATAAGATTGTTACAGTGATGATGTGAGAGAAGTAAGTTCTTTACTCAAGAATAAAATATGAAATACAAATTTCTACATGATGAATTAACGCTTTATGGGTTTCTTCTTAAACATGTACCTCTTATTTTTGCCTGGTATGGACTAAAATGGTGTATTACTGTAGGTAACTTCAAGTAAATATTTCAGAAAGCTTTATGTCAGTTCATAAAAATGTGTTTTTTATAAAAAATAAATCTAACTGATACCCATTTAAACAGCTTTAATGTACATACCTGCTAAATTATAGTAGTTAAAACATTTGAACAATAATGTAAAGTCAACATGCAGACAGAAAGAGTGAGTTAGCATTTTAGAAAAACATCTACAAAAGGAAGATCACTGAGTTAGTTTAGAGCAAAAAGCGGGGAGAGGCGAGTGGACTGTACTACCACGTTGTACTTACTGGATGACACATTTATAGTTTTGGTATCCACGCCAAGTCCATTGGACACCGTACAAGAGACAGTCAGATTATCAGTAGGCACCACTCTGATCTTGTGTGTTATCTTTCCATTGACAAAGAGACTCTCATCAATCTGAATGGTAAGGGAAAAAACACATTAGTATATGCGTAGGATATCTAAACATGTCATGGCAGCATCCGGACTAAAACCACCAGACTCAGGGACAGTTTCATCCCACAGGCAATAAGACTGTTAAACACCTGAACTGTTGAAGCAAAATCTGTTAAACACCTGAACAGTTGAAACAACATCCTTAATATTCATCTGGCTGCTACTTAAAAATTATTGATCTATTTACCTATATATCATATTTCAATAACTTGCATATAGACTCTTATTGCACTATTTCACTATTTCACTTTTTTACTATTTACTTGCACTATATTTTCTGTTTATCTGTGTTTTGTGTTGCTCTGTTGGAGAAGATAAGATAAGATAAGATAAGATGGACCTTTATTAATCCCTGTGGGGAAATGCAGTTGTACAAAGCAGCAACAGGGTAAGCGTGAAAAAACAGGACAGCAAAGATTTACAGATTAATTAAATCAAAAATAAAATCAAGAAAAAAATAAAATAATAATGATAATAATAATAAAAGACTATGAAATAGGAGATGAGTAAAAATAAGAGTAAAATAACTGTCAGCATATATACATATTTGGTCATCTAAGTTATGAAGTACGGAATGAGTTAAAGTGACAAGTGAAAAGTGAAAATGGACATCTGTACATATATATCGACATATCTATCTACGTATTTGGTCTACTACTAATGTATTAACATGGGTTGTGGAAACAGTGTATATTTATGTCCAGTGATTTTATTTTATTTCTTTTTCATTATTGACCCCTTGTTGTGCAGCCTGATGGCTACAGGCACAAAGGACTGTCCGAGGCACTTGGTGCGTTGTTGTGGAGAAGCCTGTGACACAAGATTTTCATCTGCATAACTACACTGTAGCTATGTTCGTATGAATAAATAAAGAACCTTGAACCTTGAAGGAGTGTTTTTTTGTACCACTAGGGGGCGACGTTGGATGGATATGTGACTCAGCCTTTCCATGACAAAGGCACCGCATGTGTGCCTCTGGGATATAGACACTTTAGTCTCAGGGGAAAGCCCCAGACACAAAGACAAACTGCCAACACCCTTTTTCAGGGTCTTCTACGTGTACAGTACAGGAAGATGTGGACATTTTGGCAATTAATGAACCTGTGTTCATTCCTTTTCATTGCTATCTTTTGTGAATTAGGATGGGATGAGAGAACAAAAACATAAACTTTGACTGAATTGTAGTTTGTATGTTTTGTCCTTTAGTGAAAGGGTTGTGCGAACCTTTAGAGTTGATTCATTATGACACACAGGTTTAAGTTTGGAGGTTAGACATTGACTGAAAGAGCTGAAAAATAGTGTAACCATCCTACACACACCCTCAGATTCACATGGAATTTAAAATGCTTCATTGAGCAGTTCTGCTATCAGTGCACCCAGGTACACCACTGAGACAAAAGAGAAAAGAAATGTCCAATTGGAAGCTATTGTCTTTGTGACAGTCTGTAGCGAAACACTGGGTTTCAGCCTCAGAAAAATGAAGAAATGTTCTCTTTCGAAACACTGAGCTCACCCGTCTAGAAATGTTTGGAGTAGATAAGTGTGGTAGCCGGGGAAAATACTAACACTGCAAACTGCTCTGCAAACAACAGGGAGGGAGAACTCACTCAGTGGCACAGCAAGGCATGAACTGTCTCAGGGCCGAGACACTGAAAAACCTCAGATCTTTTATCATAAGCTTAAACAGAGTCACACCTTCACATCTCTGTGGGTGATTTTCATAGGTTTGTTTTGATGAAAATGCCATTAAATTGAAACAACCATACTGTATAAGCATCTCAGTGGTTTTTCTTTGCTGCTAAAAGAGCCATTAGTAGATTTCAGTGAAAGAAAATGTATTTTCTTAAGAAGTAGTAGACCAAACACCTAAATAACACTTTAAATGTTCACACACTTTGTACCTGTGTCGATCCAGATGAAACCAGGTATTGCGTGCTGCACAAATCATCTACAATATGCCTGGACTACTTTATAAACCATACTTAGACGCTGCTGCCTAACTGCTGCAGTTACTGTACAGGAGGACCAAGGACAGAAGATGGATTTCTTTAACAACCAGTATTGATTTGTCATTCAAAGAGTGACTGACAGAAACATTTAAAGCCTGCTGAATGATCTCTTAAAAACACAATTTGTCATTGGAGGCGGTCTTTTAATCGCGACATTAAGGACATATTTATGGTTTGTAATGGCAATTTATATTTTTGCAATTTTATGAATTGTTGCAATGGTTTCACATACCGTGCCGTTGATGCTCCAGGTAACAGCTGGCTTTGGAGAACCTTCAGCCTCACAAATCAGTTCTTCATGTGTGCCGTCTTCGCCACGCTTTTTGATCAGCTGTTTGATCACCGGAGCACCTGCAACAGGACGTAACCCTTCAGATACATCTGAATGAGTGCACATGTGGTGTGAATGGTTGCATTTCATTCCAGCACAGACACAGAGTTGTCTGATGAGGAACTCACTTGAGGAATAGTTTGACATTTTGGAAAATACGCTTAATTGCTTTCCTGGATGAGATGATTCATACTACTCTTAGTTCTGTATGGTAGGTATTACGCTATGGCCAGCAGTTGATTAGCGTAGCTAAGAAAATCTTACCTGCTGCTTTGAGGCAAAAGTGGTATACATCTTCTCTAATCTAACTCTCAACAAAAAGCTACTAATAATATATCCTAAAAATCTCTGAGTTCTTACCTTCAACAGTCAGCTCAAGAGAAGCTTTTTGGTTGAGGAGCCCAAGCGTCACCTCACACTCATAGCGGCCAGAATCAGCGAAAGTCAGCTTGGCAAACTTGGGCTCTTTGTCCAATTTAACATTGTTCTGTATCAAATTAAAAGGATGGACCGTCAATAACAACCACACACTTTTCCTACTTGATTCAGGCTTTGTTGTATAAAAGATTGCTTTTACCTTTGTCCAGGAGACCTTTGTGTCTCCGGAGGAATCAATCTTGAGATTTGGATGCAATGCTTCACCAGCACTCTTGACGATATTTCCAGAGGGGCTTAAATTGATGTCTAGGTCTAACAAGAGAGGAGAGGGTTGTGAATAGATGGTTCAGAGGCCTGACAAGGGTTGAAACATTCCTGTCGTTAACCACACAACCCTGCACTTGGCTCAATGCCCTGCAGATGCAGCTTATTAGAGGCAGTATCTTTGACACAACACTTTCCTTCACGAAACAAAAGAAAAGAAAACAGTAGGACTTACTTTCATCTAGCAATAAACATAGCTATAAAAAATGACATGCGGGAAAGGTAAATGTGCTGACAATCATGCTGGCTTGTGGCCAAACTGCATAATACACCATGTTTTGGTCCCTTACAGTTCACTGTGATGGCCATGGATGCTTCCATTGTTGGGTCATCAACGAGAGAGCATTTGTATTCACCGGTGGTGTTGCGAGAGACATTAGTGATGGTGTAAGAATCATCGTCCACTTTCACTATCTCTCCCTTTAAAGACATACAATGGCGGGAGATTAGCCTCATTGAAAAAACAACAACACATTAAGCATGAATGGAAGACATCTCTGAGTGCCTCAATGAGATATTGGTAAGCACCTGTGCCTTAAGGTGGAAGTTAAAGGCGGTTGGAGCTGGGTTTCCATCAGCAACACACTTCAGGGTCATACTGTCTCCTTCCACCAGAGAGTCCTGACCAGTGACCTGAAGGACAAGGTTCTCTGTGGAGTCTGGGCAGAAAGAAGGAGATGGAAAGTCAGAGGGCAACTTAATGAGCATGTTCCCCTAACAGCTGACTTCAGAGACACACTTTGTCATCACACTACAGAGAGCTGTAAGTGTAACTTTCTGCTACAGCAGAGGCAAAACTCTTCACACTTCTTGTGAGAAAGTGTTACGACAGTGATACATTTGAATTTAAAGTCTGCACTTAGCAGGTAGCATGAATATTTAATGCTGATTTTGGTATATTTTTCCCACTTCTTAGCTATCTCATTTTTCATCTGTCACCCGGAAAGTTATCGTTACTGTTTTCTTCTTTGTTGTACCAGAAGGAAAGAATGATTTAAAAACTGTTAATATAGTCTGAAAAATAAAAGCCTGTTTCCACTAAAAATAGTTTGTATTGGTCTTTGTAATGAGCTTGTGGGTCAGGAGCTGCTGATGTTGAAAAACATGACTTAAAATTAAAAAGTCAGGCTATTCAATAGCCGTTATTCTTATCTTTTACTCCAAAAAATATAATAAAAGTATAACAAAATCACATCACAGTTTAAATAATCATACCCCGTTAAATAATTAAGGCTCATAATTGAAAAAATAACCACTGTTTCCCTATTCAAAAGTGAAAAGGGGAAAGAAAAAGCACAGAATTCTTTTTTTAAATCAGCCTTGTATAACATGTTGTAATTGATTTTCTACAAGTGGAGAAACCGACTGGTGCTGTTTTTTTGTAACCTTTCATGTTTCTGCAAAATTGGACTGCATTCAGTCACAACCCACTGGCTTGAAATCTATAATGGTCTGTTTCTTTTTTTTTACTTGAAATAGAATTTGAAATGTCTAACCTTCATCAGCATTTGGATGGCTACCAAAATACCCAGGGTGATGGTCAAGCACGAGATGCATGTGCCATATTTCGGATGTCTTAGTAGTATTTATTTTAGAAATATGATTATTACATAATCGTAGTTGCTAGCTTGCAGATGGGAGGATCGATACCACTCTAATATCTTCTCCATTAGATATAATTATATTGCGATAGACAGCTTAGCTCAGCAAAAAGCCTGGAAACATCCAGGCTGGCTCTGTGCAAAGTTAAACAATTCACCTCCTAGCAAATCTATAGCCAATCACCAATTAACAAGTTAACAAGTATTCATTCAATGTATACACATATTATTTGGACATGCCAGGCTAGTTGTTTCCCCCTGTCCCCAGTCTTAATGCTAAAAGTTAAGCTAACTGGCTGTAGCGTTATCTTTACTCTGCTGACATCAGAAAGGTATTGTTCTTCTCATCTAACTCTCAGCAGGATTTTGTGTTATAGGAGCTTGAACAGTTTAGCAAGTGTTTTCAGGGCGGGTTGTTTGCGTGGCCTCGGGGACTCACAGGTGATACTGAAGGTTACTGGAGAGGACACGATCCCTGCGGCCTGAGTGTTCTTAGCACTGCAGGTGAACACAGCGTCCGTGTCTTCCTTCTGCGCAGAGTACTCAAGTACGGAGGAGGTGGTCGAAAGGCCAGTCACATCGTTCACCAGCACCGAGGCCTGGATGGAAATTCCTAGACAGAAAACGAACAACTTTGTCTCAAAACTCTAACAAGGAAACAATGGTGTAGTGACCAAATCGCGGCGTTCTCACTTGGCAAGTGCAGCACTGAAGAACAATGTACAGTAACTGTTTCAGTCAGAGAGAATAAATACATCTGTGTATGTAATATTTCTTAATGTCAACTCAAACCCTAAAGAGTTGTTTTGTTGCTATTAATAATTATAATCTTCCAACAGAATGAAGAATACACACCTTTTCCATCAGCTTTCAGAGTTGTGTTGTTTTTCAGCCATGTGATTTCTGCCGCTGGATTGGAGTCCTTGGCAACACACTTTGCGAGCTAAGGTACACAAATAACACCTTTAAATCATAGCAAATACCTGCACACACATATTGAAAAACAATCACTGTTTAATGCATGTCAAATAAATCTGCATCTCTTTAAGTGACTAAACATCTGAGCAAGTTAGCTTTTTGTAGCACCCTTCCGGCATTTGAGGACTTAGTTGTTTCTACGCAACAGACCATGAAATGCCCCGAGTTCTTCTAAAGCCACTCAGATCCTCTGGGTATTTTAATTGCAGTAAGGGGGATTCTGCTCTTTACTAATTCATGAGAATCACTTCAAAGAACTCATTACTGTAGTAACATGGCCTCAGCTATGCCTCAAGATACCTTTGCTCAAGTGCGGGATTTCCCTTGATGGGCTACGGCTTAAAATAATGTATGTATAAGCAATGTTTATCATTAAAAACCCACCTTTGTAAGTTTGCCAATTTCTAGTTCCTCCGCTTTGTCAGAAATCTCCAGGCCAGGCGTCTCTGCAATTCATAAAAAAGAGTGGGGAGTTAATGTCAGTTAACAGTTAGCAGTCAGTTATTAAACACCTCAACCAAAGAAATCCAAAAGAAGAAAAAGTTATTTAAGACGATAGAAGCTTGTACTCACTCTGAATCACCACATTAACTGGATATTCTGTGATGTCCACATCAGCCACCACCATGCAGGTGAAAGTGCGTTGGTCACTCAGCTTGGTGGCAGACAGAAGCAGGCTGGATTTTGCAGCCATGCTCACACGGCCCTTGTATTCATCAGTGGTCATGATGGAGACATTCTGGTCTTTCCGCTTGACCAGCAGGTCTCCTGAAAGACCCTCTCCTTTGTCCTGGAGAGAAAAGCAGAGTGCACTTGTTACATATCTGTCACATATGGCACTGGCATCCATTTCAAATTAAAAGCACACAGTGTTTTATTTTCATGCCCCGATTCATGCATTTTATTATGAAGAGACAGATGCTTGGCACTGCATGTGCACTCAGACTGGGCGTGGTTCAGACATGATAAGTGGGTGTCAGACGGACTCCACCATTTTGAATCTATTGACCTCCACTGTGACTTACATATTTCCATTTAGTGATCAGGACGTCCTCTGCATTCACTGCTCCATTGTTGCACGGGATTTCCAGTGTTTCCCCATACAGGCCGATAACCGTCGCCAAACCGCTGACTGCGAAAGAGAAAAGCAGAGACACAATTTTCAATTAGTTTTTTTAACAGGGCTAATCTGGTCAGCTCCAACATAGCATGACATTTTTTGAATGAAAAGTCAAATCTGTTATTATTGTGAGGGCTTCAAAGTCCCTTCTTTCTAATCATATTTGACTGGCCTACACCAATACCACTTAGTGCTCAGCTAAATACACTGAGAACAGCAGTTTCTATACAGTTCTGCTAATGTAACAACTCCCTTGGTAAAAAAAAAAAAAAACCTTAAACATCGCCATGGAGACTAAGTGCATGAGAGGGGGGATGGGACGAGGTGTCTCAATGGGCTGCCATGAGGGTTAGACTTATACATCCATGGGGTTAGAGCCAGAGGGCTCTGGGGAAGAAGCGGCTGCCATGGCACGACTGAAAATGAGGTGCTGCTCAGCTTTTGGTATTCACATTCACCTCCGTGTGTTGCACGCACGAGTGGGTTCGTGGAGACGAAGATCTGACAGCTAAAACCCAAAACAGCTCATCAGCCAGTCAGTAAAGTGTGAGAAAACAAAGCAGTGGCCAAACCAACTTCCATCTGTCGGACAAATAATGTTTGTGGATTTTACAGGAAGAGTGCAAAACAATGAAGATGCTCAAATATTCTGCGTGCATTCATCCACGAAATTGTCTGATTATATTCATGCACAACAAAAAGACTACAAAAAGTAAGACTGCAATGCAACTGAAGGTTTAGTCTCACTTTCCCTCTTAACTCAGCAGACCTTTCCTCAAAGTGGAGCAACGATGGGGCGGTTAATTCATTTGCTTTGTGCGTGATACTCATTTGAATCCCTTTGAATGAAAGTAGATACTTTTGCTATGGTTACCATTGTCTACATTGGGACAGAGTAACAACTGGGACCCTGAAGGCATATTTGCACAGTTGCTTGTGATTTAAGGATGAGCACAAGCATCTCCTGCGTCCTGCTCCGGGTGTTATGTTCCCGTCACGATAAACCCCCTCTTGTCGAGTGTCATTTTCACATAAAGACGATTGAACAAGTTCATCATGTACTTTTATGCAGCATTACTTTACTAAAGATACACAACAATGTCTGTGTTGACTCAAAGTTTTCCTCCAGTCAACACAGTCTGCTGTTAATGCCGTCCTCCTGCCACTCAGCTGAACAAGTTCACTCCCGACACTTGTCACTCATCTTTATGAGCCGTCAGCTTCAAAACTAAATCTAGTCTAACGCTGAGCTAACCAGAGTCAGTAAAGCCTGTCAGTGAAGATGCCAAACAGACAATTTAATAATGGGATGTTTTACAGGTCATGTTTTGCTGCCTTTTCTTTTCATTCTCATTCAACGCACGGCAAAAATAGATTATTTTCTCAAATTTCAAACTATTTATTCAACAGCCACAATAGCTAACACTAACTGTCTGCTCTTGCACATACTCAAGTAATGTGCGATATATTTCATTTCTTTACAAAAAGTGTTAATTTAAACAAATATATTGAACTTAATACCATTTTTATAGGTTTCCTAATAAACTATAACACCTCTATAAAACTAGTTAGATTGCTGGATGCAAAAATATCAGCATTTATAGAGACCAGGAAACAATAAACACACGGAGAACAAAATGGATATAAAAATGTATGTGGTCCAATGTTTGGGGATGACTAGAATAAGATCTTAAAGCTCTATCTGTGAGTATCAAAGCATTGTAACCCACACACAAAAAAAAAAACAGATACCGAAAGCCCATCACCCCCAGAGACACTATCCATGCATTTCAAAAAGGCTCAGGGATGTTTAACAGTGACAACACGGACAAAACAAAGCTCGCCACATTTCAACAGATGACAGTTGTACCAGGAATTCTTCACCAAAAACAGGGTACAGCTCTGTCACCTGTCAACTGCAGTACAATTAAAATTACAGATTCCTCCAATTATTCATGATTTGCCACACCTTAAACCTACATTTAAATGATTTGAAAGCCTATTAAGAGTCTTTCTCCCATCCAGATTTGTACACCTCTGTCCGATCCACCTGAAATAGAAATGCAGATTGCTGGTGCGAACACAGCATGCCCATGTAGCTGTCCTACACTGCCTTGGTTTATCTTTCTGATGTACATTGCTTTTAATAGAACAGACTCTTGTGTTTGAATGGGCTTTAGGCAGAGAAGAGTGCACACACTAGGTGGAAAACAGGAAATGAAGACATGGTGAATCTATTAGGAGGATGGAGTTAATGAGCTCTCTGTGCAGGACCTGGGCACACGTTTTGTAATGTGTCAAGTCCAATGATATCATGCTGCATTTCATATTTAGTGTTACAGTGGCAAAGATAATCTAGATTATGTGCAGCACCTGGGTATGTACGTAGGTGCCAGCATAATATAATGTGTTCAGAATCTTGTTATGAATCACATTTGTCCTTGTTTGTTTTCCAGGTGTTCTCTCAGGAAAGAGTCCTGCACAACCTGGTCTTCCCAATCTTTCAATTGTTAAGTCAAAAGAGTGAGTTATATTCAGGTTACACTGCAAGAACTGCAGAGCCAGAAAGGTTATCGCACTTCCTGTAAAATAGACTCCTTCAATTTCAAATTCAAATGAGCCTTTTTGAATATTCAAATACAGCTGTGTTCAGCCTCTCTGAACTTTAGAAGAGTCTGTATTAAGGAAAAGGCTTTGTCTGCACAGATTACACTGTTACACAATGAGAACTAATCACACTTGTGGAGTTGCAGAAGACAAAAGCTCCTGCTGGTTACTGAGATAAGGTAATCCTTCACCACAAATGTAGGTGAACAGTGTGACTTCACGTTTGCAATCACATGCAGGCCCACAATGCATACGGAAGTATTATCACTTCACAGTTGTCTATATGATGAGAGCAATGGTTACAGGGAGTCTAACTAAACCTTGTGCTTTGTTGTGTTTGGCCTTATTCTATGTCTACATTGCTCTACGTATTATTATTTAAAATAACAACTGCATTGTGTCTTTTTCCTTTTCTAACCTTATTAAAAAACAATATTGTAGAAAAGCATTGAGGCGATGTAAACCATTGTTATTGATTACAACAGATAAGGAAATATATTAGGTATTATATGTTATATTGAATTCACATGTATAAATAGAGCCTACACATGATTTTTGTTTGCCGAAGATCTTTCAAAGACGAGGTCATTTAGAGTCTGTCAATATTCATTATAATATAAGTTGTGTTTTGAAGAGAGATGGTATTTGGGATTTGGTTGGAGTAGTGCTGTGTAAAATTCCCTTGTATAAAACCATGTTCAAAGCAGGGGTATCTGAGACTCAATAATCTTAAAACCCATCAGCTATCTGAATATCAATGATAAGAATTTGGGGGGGATTCTGGTCAATGAATTACGCCTCTTTGGCTCTCCACACTAAACCAAAGCACGTTTAAATGGGATTGATCGACACTACACATATTACTAATGGAAACAAAAGTGCTTCAAGCAACAAAATATTGCCCCATTCTGCAATCATATGCATAACCTGTTTTGTGGTGATACACCAAACTGAAGTATTGCGCCATTAAAAAAATTAATCTCAGCAGCAGCAGATTGGGGTTAAGCAACACTTTATTCCAATGTGCTACATCTGTGTCTTTACAAATCCTTTATTGGCACTTTATTCCACTGAAACCAGAACTTGGCACACCAGCATGGATGTGAATTTCTTGGTACTTATAAAGCAGAGTTCTTACACTGGACACAGGATATTAGCTAATACTCTGGCGATGGTAAATCAAGCAAACGACAGGCGAGTGACAGAGACAGGAGGCGGCACCACAGGAGACACTTTCATGTTCCTGATTAAGGCGCCTCTATCCCGGCGAAGAGACAGGTGACGACAGCTCCGATATAAGCTCGCCAGGGAAATCAGCTACCTCCCCACACAGGTCTCTATATCCCTGTTTTGCTACCTTACGCCCCCCTATTTGTGTGTCTGTGTGTGTGTCTGAGTGTGTAGGCAAGTCATTTCAGTTGAAAGTAAACGTAGGCCGAAACTTATTAAGTGCCTAAAATGAGGATTGTGCTGTGAGAGGAGATCCCAAGGCGCATGTCCACAAAGACTTGATGGCAAATAGCCTTGCTTCAGAAGCGCTTCAGCGGCGAGGGGGCAGACAGAACCACTTCAGCTAGATCAATAATACTTGAGGAAAGGCGAGATTCTTATAGTGAACAGCGCTTGTCTAAGGAGCGAGAAATCAAAGAAAAGCTAACCTCCCGTGACATTCTGCTTCTCGTCCTTGTCTTTTCTTTAATAATTTAACAAGTGTTGAAATGAGAAGGGATCAAAGATGTAATAGGCTCTATAACTCATTACTAGCCGTCAAGAAAGAAATAGAGGAACCGCTGTCATGTAGAAAGTTGCGGAAATGTTTCGGGAAATCCTTCCGTCTACCACCAGGTTCCCAAGAGCATCCTTTTAGCCATTTAGTATTAAATGAGGTCTATAAGCAGCTGTTTTGAAGACTTAACTCTTAACTCTTATGTTACAGACTACTATGAAAAGCATATGACTGTATTTGAATTCAGTTCCAGTACAAGCTTAGGAGGAAGTGTTCCAGACCAAAGAGGGTTTTTTTTTAACATAAACCAAGCTACTTCCTCACTATCACTGTCTGTCTCTCTTTGTCGAGGGGAAGGGTAGTAATCATGTCACTGATGGATAACTGGCAGCACACTTGCACAACATCCCTTTCGCACAGTTTCTCTCTGCAGCAGGCTGAACCATGGAGGCACCATTCTGAATGTCAAGCTCTATAATTTTGCTTTTTTCTGTCTACTGTAATTGCCTGTCAGTGTCGTTACGGTGTAGAACTAAGGGCATCAGTTTGAATTTTTTACAGGAGAGATGGTTGACAAAAAACACTAATGTCAATAGCTGAGAGACTCTCCATTTTGAAGCATGGGGATGCATACAGGACACATTTGAATGTACGTTCAGCTCTGTTTGTAGCTATGAAA